ACGCCCCGGCGACGCGGCTCATTGAGCGGCGCGGGCAGAGCACCCAGTGCGCGACTTGAGCTCCGCGGGTTAGTAGCGGCTCGGTGTTCGTCCTCGGTTCCCGCCAGTTCCGCCCGTGCGTGTGTGTGCGTGCGCCTTCCCGTTCGCGCCAAAACTTGGCTCGCGGCTCCGCCGAGATTTCGCCGGTTCCAAGGTCCGTTGTCCCCTGTAAGTCTCACTCTTGTAGTGATCCTCACCCGAGAAAAACGCGGTGTTCTTGTAATTCATGCAATGATGGATTTCATCTTCAGGTTTAATGGAAAATTTCCTCACACAAATGTTATCGCTTCATCTGAGAGTGCCTTATGAGCTGAGTTCGCAGGAATTTTTGTAATTTTTTTCTGACATGGGAAATTGGAGAAAAATAGATTAAAAGTGAGAAAATGTGCCGCCACATGACGTCATCCAGCGGCATTTGCCATTTAAACACATGTATTTTAGCAGATTAGGTTATTTAGTCATATTTTCTCAAATAAGTGTCCAATTTAGAAACCAAGGGTATCCTCTAACACAGCTTTCCTAGCAGTACCATGTTAAAGATGAAATTCACAAAATTTTAGGACCCCTGCAAATTATAAATTTCTACGCAAAAATTACAAAAGCCGTTCATGCCATGCTAGAGTGATACTTAAATTCCAGGTTTATATCGCAGGCTTTAAATATTGAATTTTCCAACTAAAATTTTTAGATTACAATCATTTTTTTATAAAAAAAAAAAATTGTATTTATATTCGTATACATAATGGAATAATGGATTTTGTCGTTGTGTTCAAACGGCGCACACATATCATTACAGCCATTTATGTGGGAGTGATACGTAAGCTGCATATTTTTACCACAGGTTTAAATTATCGATTTTTTCAACTACAATTTTTGAATTACGATACTTTTTTAAAAAAAATATTCTGTATTCGTGGATAATTGAATGTTAGATTAATCATTGTGTTTTTTGGTACGCGCAGATTAATACAGCCAATTATGCCTGAGTTATACATACTTAAATTGTACATATTTACACAAGGCTTGAAATTTCGGATCGCAATACAAATTAAGTTTTCATTCTAAGTAATACAGGGGTTGATTCAATGATAACTTTTTAATCGATTTAATGTCCTCTTATATTGGTTTTATTGTCAAAAATGTATTTGCCATCGTAATGCGTAAGTTTGAAAACCTCGCATTCCTCTGAATAATAGTTATAAATTGTAGAAACGAATGAATTGAAGCAATTTTTTTTTAAATTGTTTTCTTCCGATTTTTTGCGTTCAAAACGGGCATTGTGTTTAAAAATGATTAAGATAAAATTAAAAATAAAAATAAAAAAAATTAATCTGTACAAGTCAGTACTTCTTGGGGATTGTTCAATTTTTTAACAGTTTAGAAGCCGATCAACTTGAGTTGATACGTTCCAAAATTCAATTCACAATGATTTTTTTCGCATTACTAAGAAACTTTCAAACATTGAAATAATTGTTACCGTATTGAACAGGATATCAAACCTCGAAAAACTGGAGAAAATAATGAAGTTATGAATGAAAAACTGAAATGATGGAGAAAATTTAAGGACTGCTTACCGCGGCACTAGTGTCTGATTACGGTAGTGCAGATTTTGATAATTCAAATCTCAGGTATTTTCGTATTCCCTTTTAGGAATTGATTTAGTAAAGTCAAAAGGATCAAAGAGGAAATGTTGCAGCTCACGCAGTCCGGGATTCTCGCTCATTCCGAAAATACAGGGAAAGAGAAGGAAATGTGTCAGGAATTTTCGGAGTAGGTAGTCAAGTCAAGAAAAATCAAGGAAAAGAATGAGAAATATAGAGCTCGACTAAACTCGCAACCCAGTTGAGACTATCTCATATTTTGTTTCGTCATTGCACAAGAGAGTTTTGAAGATATTTCTGAATGAATTTGTTTAAAAGCCACCTTGAATTTTAGCGTGCCTGCCCCACAAGCAACACTTTCCGGATGAAACGGAGAGAAATAGCGAGGGTAAATAGGAATAGGAATGTTTTCAGAGCGGCCGGAATGATGCAGAGCAGTTTACCAAGACACAAAAAACCTCGAGTCGGAAAAGGCCCGGAAAATGAGAGTAACAAATCACATTCATACTTTTGAAAGATTTAGATAAATGATGACGGATCCGACGACAGCATCCATCATTCCAGGTCCATATATTTCTTCCCGCTCACATAACGCGCGCGACACGTACACGTGTACCCGTGTCGCGGCGTGCTTTGCGATACATCGGTTGATCTACCATTTAAACCTATGGAAAAGATCGATTATTAGGGTGTTCGCAGCGAACACCCTAATAATCGATTCTTTACCACAGCTCGAATGGGAAAATATCGACGATCGATCATTCACGCCTCGCCACTGACGTGTACCCGCACGGGTCACACTCACACATGCAGAGTGAAACTTCACGAATATTGAAGTTTCCTCCCATTTCACTGTTGAGTTCATTCACCATTGCTGAACCTCCACGGATGAGGGCACCTAACTCCACTAATGCTAAAAATTGAGCTAATTTTACCGAGGAATAACCGATTGTTCCGGGAACATACCACAGCAGAAAACGCTCAAACATATTAAAAGAAACAGTAGACATGGCGATTTGAATTCCACACTTCAAAAAGCGCACTGAAAAAAATAATATGCTGTTTCAGCCCCTAGGATGTCAAAAATGTGTCTGGTGATCCTAAGATGCTGCTTTCACTGCCCTCGCAGTTACATTTACATCCTATGAATGCAAATTCAACTGCGTGTGCTACCAAGGTAGCATCTTAGGATCACCACTCACCAGACCCATTTTTGACTTCCTAGGTGCTAAAATAGCATACCATTTTTTTCAGTGCTCACATTCGAGAAGAACACTTTTCAAAAGTCTAACTTACATTGAACAGGCGCAAAAATCCGTGGAGACTTTACGCATGATGACTATTGGACCTGGGAAAACAAAAAATTACTGAGTTCCATCGCGGAGCAGAAAAATATCCCAGAAAGTCGAGTAAACATGGAACATGTAATCATATCAAAATCAATATGAAATCAATATGGAATCAATATGAAAATTCACAAGGAAGTTTATTAGGGAATTTAGTAGGAAGTTTATTGAGGAATTAATGCTGAAAATGTAGGTAATTTCTTTCCTTTCCGCTTCGAAACTTTTTTTCTTTAAATGTGGTGGTTACAATTTACTCAGTGCTGAGGAGTCAGAGACATCATTTTCATACCCCTGAAATCCAAGTATAGATCATTTACAAATCTTAATAGAATAAGAGCAATTTTTGACACTCTGAAAATACCTCATGTCTTCTCCTAGGATTAAAAATTTTACAATCTACCATCTCTGATGGCAAATTAAAGTCCATTCTAGATATTCTAAACCCTCGAAAGAATATTAAAAAATTCCTCCTTTAAAATATCTCATTACTCTTGACAGGATTTAAAAATAAGAAATTTCCCACCACCGGTGTCACTTTGGAACCCGTCGGAATTTCCGAAAGTTAGTAACGAGCACAAAACCGGACGTTTCTGAACAGTGAAGAGTGTTTGTGCGCGCGTCGCGAGTGAATTGGGCGAAGATTCGCGGCGTTCGGCGCGGACAATTTTCACCTTTCGCGGCATCGCAGCGACGGCGGGCAGAAAATCAGGGGAAAGAACCAGAAAAGTGTGGGTGCGACCAGGTCCAGAGGCAGCGGAGATGAGTGTGCGCTACGAATGACGTCATCATGAAGGGTGCGAGTGAGTGACTGTGTAATGCGGTCATATTTTCACGAGATCTAATATTGAAGAGGCTCGTGCGAACATTTGCGCTGTTGTTTGACACAGCTCATTAGTGAGAGTGATGGGGGTGTGCTGTGAGGGGGGCATGAAGAAGGGGTAGGATGGAGGGGTGCCGTGGTAAGGAGCCGGTCCACAAGTGGCACAGCGACCCGGGGTCGAGCGGGGGCCCGGCTCCTGGGCCCGGGGGCGCCTCTCCTGGAGTGGGCGCCTCCCCCGGAGTGGGCGCCACCAAGAAGGCGCCGGCCGCCCGCCGGCCCCGCTCCCACTCGGGCAGCTCCCATTCGCACGCCCATGCCCCCGTATCCTCCCGCAAGTGCGTCCTCACCCTCGATGGATACTCCTACGTCATAGGTGAGTAAATCAATCCTCAAAATTACTTTTCCCAGCAATGTTCCGTAGCTTTTCATTCGATTTCCATCTTAGCTAAAAGAGCAGGGGTCTGGGGTATCCACACTGAAAAAAAAGATTGGTAGAATTTACCGTTCCTTCACTCTGTATTTCACACAGCGTCAATTCAGAGGTAATTCTGCCAGAAGAAAGGTAAACGTTACTATATCGTCACCTTCCAGGCAAAGTATCACAAGCGCCATGCGACGTTTAAAAATTTCCGCCGCCATTTTATTTCTTTACTGAGAAATTGTTGGTTGAATCTGTTTGGAAATTTCACTAATTTTATCGGCAGCACAAAGAAAATTCAGTGAAATTTTCAGACAGCTTCGTTGAACAATTTCTCTGTAAAAAAATATAATGGCGACAGAAATTTTTAAACGTCGCATGGCGCTTGTGATACTTTGCCTGGAAGGTGACGATATACTGGTACAGGTAACCATTCCTCTAGCAGAATCGACTTGAAGATTAGTAGAATTTACCATTCCTTCACGCTATGTGAAATACAGCGTGAAGGAATGGTAAATTCTATCAATCTTTTTTTTTTTTTTTTTCAGTGTAAAAGAGGGGTCTGGGGTATCCATAAGGGCCCAGCCTAGCTGAGTTTCCTCAACTCCACGATTTTTGCCCACAACTTTGGTCATCGGAATACATGTATTTTCTTGTTTAGATAGAGCTCAGCGTGTTCAGGAAACATCGGTCCTTCTAAATGTCGTTTATTTTATTATTGTATTTTGCCTCTCGAGAGTGACAGAATTATGCAGAAATGACGACAATTTATGACAAAATGTGAAATATGAGTATGTAAAAATGACGATAGTCATAAGAGAATGGGCAGACAAGACATCAAGTAGACGTATTTCTATCAAACGGAACTGAGCGCCGTAGGGGGAGGAAGGGAGAGGGGGACTTGGATTGGCGGGTGTTGCGGAACGCGATGCTATAGTCCGTCCTATTCTCGCAATGCTTTTCCATGGCGCTTAGTTCCGTTTGACAGCACGCGCTATCCGGGATTCTAAAATCCTCAAAAGGAACTCAATTTGGCGCTTAGTTCCATTCAACAGAAATACGTCCAAGTAATCCATGCATCGTTTCGTTTGAATTACTCTATAATCTAAATCGGGCGCATTTATGCTAAAAGGGTCTATGTACATAGGGTTTGCGTGCTGTATAGTTCCTTTTAGCACAAATACGCCCAATTGGAATCGCGAGTTTCCATCAAATGCTTGGTTGGGCCATCTCTTTGATTTTTGGGAATCCTAGCGTCAGAAGCTTCAACTATAATACAGTGCGGCGTATCTGAATTGGACGGAGTTAAACAGAAAGGAACCAAGCCACATCGAGATCGAACCGAGAAAAAGAGGTTTAAAGTTTGGCTCCTGCATAAGACTCAATGTAAAAGATAAACTTTAAGTTCAATTTCTGCAAAATTTGCTCCAACAAAATCTTTGAATTTTTGGCGATAGATAGTAGAGCAGTGGTTGAGTTCAAAATCACTCATAACTCAATTTTTTCCAAAATGTGGGTTGGTTCCTTTCTGCTTAACTCAGTCCAATTAACGTTTGCCGTGGGCTACATGATCGGGTACGAATATGGGTTACACTGCCGGTGAGATAACTGTATGACAGTGAAAGAGGTACGTATCATCATCGTCCTATTTGGCGCTCTTTGATCACCCAGGAGTGTGACACCCATGCCTGCGTCCTCCTATTCCATTGCCCAAAGAGATTCCCCGCACAACGTGACTTGGCTTTTGATGACGCTGAGGCGCGCTTGGCCATTTTCAATCGTCGCCTTGACTCGCAAAAATTTACGTGACTCTCTCCGCGATCAGGGGGCCATCAGACAGCAATTATATTCTTCCGTCGCAAAAAATTCAAGCTCTGCTAATTTACGTCAGGGATCGGTTTCTAGCACATAGCCTGCTGGCTGATCCTTGAAAATGATAGACAAAGAAGACATAGGGATCATGGAGCGATTCTATCGGCTGAAATGGGTGGTTCTCGTAAACTAAGGGGTATATCATGGACTAACTATTGGGTCTTTCGGGGATTGTCGTTAGTTCGTCTATTACATACTTCTTTTGTCTATCGCAACCACTCCTTTTCACCAATAAAAGCTCTTCATTTCTCCTTTGTCACCTTTGTTAAAGCTTTGTGTATCTGTTTCAATAAAGAGCCCGTAGCAAGGACAAATTGGATGACTTTAACTGGAGTCATAGCTATACGGTGCCTAATTATCTCTCATGTTTTATTTTCATAGTTGAGAACTAAACTACTTTACACCTTTCAAAGTTTTATGCATCCGCCCAAGAATATGAAGAATTACTCATAACATTTCAACTTTTGATCAGTCAGAACCTAAAAATATCTTGAAATATTTTTAAAGTTATTTAACTTTTCCTACAGCGTGGCTCTAATAACTATTTGCCTTTTGATTTCAACTTTTTGAAGTTTCAGAAAATTTTGTGTACTCCTCTATGAAAAGGGAACGAATTCCCACATAAGCAGAAGTTTACTGAATCTTTCCCGTTTCAGGCTCTCTCGCGACAGAAAATTTTCGCGTATGTCTAATATACTTTTTCCACCATAAATACATCAGATGGAATCAGCATGTCATTCCCATTTCTCACCTCTCCCAGAAACTCGGCATATAGTACGATCGGGTGGGGTGAAGCGAAGATGACAGCATGATTTCATCCAAAACATACCGTCATCGCAACTTTGATTTCCGGCCAACTCCTCTTCTTTGTAAAGTCATACCAAGGTTGCCAAAACCACCCCTTACAGCCGGTCCCGAGTCAAGTGCATGGGTTATGACGTGGTTCGGAACGTTATTTGGCCCCAAGGCAGGGCAAATGACTGCATTTTGCAATTCGGAACCTCTATTTGCAGCTCACATGTAAAATCGCCTTTTTAAACGGGGAATTCAATGTCATATAAAATACAAATAATGACTTAAGTTATTTCTAAATGTAACAAGATGGAGAAATGGTGCTGGGTCCACACCATTTCGCGGGGAAAACGGAGCCGGGAAGATCCAAAAATTATAATTAGAGTCAAAAATAAATTTGCAGCTTCGTTTTCCCTGCGACTTGGTGTGGATCCAGCACCATTTCTCCACCGTGTGACATATAGTATTCGGACCACTTCTTAGTATGTTTTTTCCGCAGATATTTCTAAAATGAACCATAAATAGTTGTTTCTTATTGCAAAATGTGGTCAAGTTCTATGAAGATGGGCTGGAGCGAATCCTCGCGTGGCCAAAAAGATGTTTGGTCTACCGTGTTGAGAAAAACGCCGTATGAGCCCTCGGATATTCCCAAATTTCCTTTGATATATCACGAATATTGAAGAAAATTTGCAGGTATTCTTATTTCAATCTTTCAGAGAATTTTGGTTGTAGTATCATCAAAATGTCTGAAAATGTCCGTCTGCATTGTTCGACTGGCTTGTGAAAAAATCATTGATCACTCGTAGTGTGCGTGACTGTCAAGGTGCGGCACTTAAGACGCGGAATCGGACGCGACGGACGGGAGGGAAATCTGTTAGACGCGTTTCAATTATAAGGAGCCTTGCGGGAATATGGAATGTGTCAATAGTTCGAAGTTAAGGAGTACGATCCAATTTCGGGGTACACGATGGCAGGAGCCAGTTGCCTTGGCCCCTTGAGGGCACCCCGCCGGTGAGCCCAGCCCTTACTTACTCTTACTTACTCCTTTTTAGAGAATTGTGTTTCTAATTTCATCAAAATTTCTGAAAGTTTCAATAAAAATATCAATAACTTTTGATGGACACTCCTCCATGCTCTGATGTTAATCACTGATTGTCGAGTTTTTATGGGATAGTGCCTCTTTAACCGATTTGGTTTTATCATTTTACCGGTAATGGATGTTGATTACCTCGGTACTGTTTTTTCGTCCGATTTTCCTTGATTTCTGAGTCATGATTTCTAGGATATGTACATTTCGGAATTTTCTTCCCTCTTCAGGCCTAAAATTGTTGATGGGTGTCTAGCACTCTTTCTTTGTGCGCGTTCGACGGTATGAGATACACATTAAAATATAAAATATCGGACACCTAAAAAATAAAAACACGGAGACTAAAACAAATTAACTATACAGTAACCGCACTGGGTCGCGACCGATATCTTACTCTGGATAAGATATCGGCCGCGACCAATGTAATATGCTCCAAAGGTACATTTCACAATAGTATGGGAAGTGTAAAATAGTGGTACATTTCTTATTGCAAAATCTATACATCGAAACATGTCGGACCTTTTTTTAACCACAAAATTGTTAAATCAGCAATTTCATTTTTTTCCGTGCGATTTTAAACGCGGCAAAGCCGATAGGCGTTTTTGTAGTTGCACCAGCGATGTATTCATAAACCCTTGAACAGGACTCGAGGCTCCCGCGTGGCTCTTGAGTGATTTCACAGAGGGAGGAACTTTTCCTGGAGCTTTGGCCAAAGTTGGCGAGAGGCGGATTTATATGCCGAGACATTAATAACGGTCGGGAAAGCCTCGCTTTCCGGGAAAGCAGTTTATATTTTTATTGGTGGGTTGAGGCGCGCGGCGGAAATTTAATCTTCCGACAATATTTGAATATTGGATGCGAGGCCGAGTGAAATATTAAAGGAGTTCTCACCGCGAAATAAAGTGGCCGTTCTCGTTATCTGATGGTGTCGCTCTGATTTTGTGGCCGGCACGCGGCACACGTTTCCATCAAGATACGGCCCCAATCCTCAAGCCAATAGCAATTACTCGCCGCCCATTTGGACCTATTCTTGCTAAAGGACCTTTGTGCATAGGGATTGCGTTCCAGATAGTTCCTTTTGGTATAAATTCGTCCATTTCGCCCAAAGACTATTTCCGTTCTTGGGCGAGGATAAAGATATTAGCCCAAGGATCGATACTCACTCACGAGTCACGAATCCAAAAATAACGAGAATCCTTTCTGT